CCTTCGCGCTAGCGGCAGCGATGGGTTTCTTACCCGCATTCTTCGCCCCGGCCGCAGTGCCTTTGAGCCTGATCCCACCGCCAGCGACCCAGCGAAGAAGCGGAGGCTCTTCGACTGGCGAGACGTACCCAGCGATGCTACACCTGCCAAGAAGAAAGCGTAAGCTCTGCTACATTTCCACATATTTCGATCGATCGACCGGCATTTTCTTTCCTCTTGCATGCTGCCGATCAATCGATCGATCGAGCGCTCGCTGGAAAAGATTACTTACCCGGGCCGGAGAGATCGTCCAAGCGCCGAGGAGCGAAGGCGGAAGCGCAGCAGCATTCTCTTCTTCCCTACCTCCTCTCGCTCACACTGAAAAAAATAAAACAGGGTTTTGTGACTGACACGCGTCAGTGGGGCCGTGAGTTAAGATTCTCGGAATCCACGGTCTAAATCAAATGTACGGAGGAATGTCCTACAACAATCAATCAAACCGTATTGTCATTCCTATTGTCAAGCATGACAAAATCACTTCAACTCTCGAAGATCACGAACATTATGCGTAGTTGAAGAGAGGTGATGATAACAGGAAAATGCGAAAACACTCTCTAGGATCTTATGCTCCTTGGAAGCTTCAATTTCTAAGTGATAATTGTGTGTTATAAAATCTTATGCAAAGGCTATCTTCATTGACTTTAAGATCACAAAAGTAACTTTAGTTGTCATTTTCACCAAAAATGGCTGTGCAACTGGATACGGAGCTTGTGTAGATGAGAATGGTAGATTATTAAGATTTTTTTATCAACATAATGCCATTGGGCTCTAATTAGCAAAATAATTAGAGAGTAGTTTTATGTATATTTAATTTTACATACAACTTTGTAAGAGAATATATCTTGGTAGAGATTTTAAAATCAAGTATATATGTTTAATTTTTTTTCTCAAACTAGCCTAATGAATTGTCCCTTATATTCAAATTTTTAGCATCTTTATGAAAGACAGTTGTTATTAAGTGAAAACAATAATTGGTTTACTTAAGCAGGGACTGTAGTGAACATACCTAGAATATACTTTGATATTCTAGGATATTCTACTATCTAACGGTTGTTATTCATTTAGACTCATCTTGTATTTTTAATTTATAAACTTTCTTAAACACTTGTTTGTATATTCTTTTTTATTTTACCATCTAATGGTTGATATGCAATAAACTTAATCTTGTGTTTATAAAATATAAACATGTTTATAATTATAAAATTTTATTTGATCAATTGGATTAATAAGTAAGAATAACATTACTATTAAACAAACCAAGCTTTGCTACATGTAAAACATAACAAATTATTTTGATTATTTCATAACACCTTTCACTTAATAATTTTACAAAGCTGCATCCCTATATTTACAGTTAAAAACTTAAAATATTTTAATAAAAATTTAATAATTTAATATATTATAAAGAAAATAATAATACCTTTTGCCCTAATAAAAAAGAGCATATAATTTTTATCTAGTATTATGTGAAACACAATTATTCAGGAAATGAATAAATACAAATTATGATATAGATTTAAATTTTAGAAGTATCCAAAATTTTACAGGCTTTTAATTTATATAATTTAGTATTAAAATATTTAAATGTTTAATTTGCTCTGAATGCAAATGAAATTATTATTGGTTTGTTTAAATGACATAAAATAAGTTTTTAAAAAATATTTATTATGAAAAATGGTTAAAAAAGTAGGAATTAAGTTCAATATATATATATTAGTATAGTTTAAGAGTTATTTCAAAATAATATATGTTAAAAATTTTGTTAAAATATACTCTTTGAGTTTTTCTTTGCACGAGATGGGGATACCTTTCATAACATGTATTCAGATATGATGCAATAGATTAAATGGAGCGTTTAAGTTTTTATATGGTTTCTAACTTTTAAAATATATATTATTAAAAAGTAGTTTTGAAGTTAATAAAAAAACCATTAAAATAAATTAATGAATAGTTTTAATTATGAATGAATATTTTTTTGAAAGAAATATTTTTTATCTTTCTTGTTGCACCTATATAATTCTTTAGTTGGTCCTTGCCTAAAGCTAATTAAAGCAATTATTTGACATTTACAATCTCAATCAAGTTTCAATAATTTTCAAAATAATTAATAATTTCATAATTAATTATTAAAATCACTAAAATAAATAACAGCTATTAAAAACTTCATGCCCATGACTTAATATTTTATATATTTATGAATTATTAATTTTAAAAAATATTTAAATAAAGAATAAAATATAATAAAGTAAATTCTCTTTATTTTGTTAAAATCAACAAAGTTGAATTTGAATTATATTTTCACTTATGCAATAAATATTTTATTTTACCATTATAATATAATTTATAATAATATTGATGGTATATCAAACTTTTTTATACATATTATTAATATTTTTAATATCTTTAGAAGCGATCAAAATTAAACTGAACTTTAAAGTCTACTAACATTTTCTCATTAGTTTATAAACTATTCAATACATTTACAAACATTTTCATCCACCAAATATTTAAATCAATCAATCTCATATTACGTAGCACAAAATAACAGGTAAAAATTCTATAAGAAAAATAAATTAATTGTTTTCTTTAAGCTCGCAATCTGCTCGGCAGTCCAATGCCCAGCCCGGCAGGAGCGCTGCTCGAGTTCCCTTGTCCATTCCTGTAATCCTGCTGCTGCTCATTTTTCAATTGCTGCTGCTGGTTTTGCTGGTTTTGATGGTGATGGTGGTGATGATGGTTGTGCGAGCAGCGAGTGGCATGACCTCCTCCCGAGCTTAGAATTCCTGGTGTTTGTTCAGCCATCTCGATTGTTGCCGCCACCGCGGCGGCTGCTGCTGGATCCGACTCGTTTTGCTTCAACGGCTGCCAAGCCTGCTCGATGTCTTCGTTGTAGCCCAAGAGCAGGAAATTGCTGCAGTTCTTCCAAAACCCGTGGTCGTAAGGATTGAAGAACAGGCCGTCGGGTCCTCTAAGGTATACATATCGGGCCGCATTTGCCATCTCGTTGGTCGTGATGTTCCTCGCAATCTGTGAAACAGAAGATCAAGTACAGGTTGGCGTGACGAAGAGCTGAGATAGCTTTTATACCTGAGCGGCTTGTATTCCCGTAAAGATCGCCACTCCGAAAAAAAGAAAGAAATCTGCAAGAACGAAAGATAGAGCACCTACGTGGTGGGATGCTACGTGCCGTAACCAGTCTCCTGGAGTGGACGGAGCATTTGGATCTGTTTTTAGTCCTGCCGAGTGCTGTGTTAGAGGAGGCGCAAGTAACCGGGAACAAAATCAACTTACTGTGCACGGTCACCGCACCAGCAACAATCATACCGGTGGTTTCACAACACAAAAAGAGGAAGAAGTCCCATTTGTTTCTCTGCCGTGTAGGAACAAGAGTTGATACTTCTGGTAGAAGTGCTGTAAGCTTACCTTCCCAACACAGTTTGATATCCAAGGACAATGGTGATCGAACTGCTCTACACAGCGGTTGCAAATCGAACAGTGCTTGGATCTTACAGGCCTCACTATCTGCAATAAAAATTTGCTCACAACGACTAAAAGATGAAAGCAAAAATTAGTCTACCTTACAAGTTGGACAAAGCTGCGACCAAAAGCCAGCCCAAAGCGCGGATGTATTCAAATCGCTTTTCAGTAGAGAATCCTGGACAACAGAGTATACGTCAAAAGAAGAGCTGAAAATGTCGCGAGATAATCCAAATACTTACAGTCATGTGCTTTCCAAATGGATCATCGCCACGATTTTTGCTAACATATCCAGGGTCTTTGCTGCAATACAAAATCGAAACGGTAGAATTATCTAGGATCAGAGAAAGTAATACCTGGTACAGCGATAGAGAAACACAAGACCTCCAGTAACAACGAAAACCGCAAACCACGCCCAAGCACCCGCGATACCTTGTACAGTCAACAACGTCGAAGCTGCAGAAGCCGGAGTTAATACAAGATCAAAACTGGAAGACGGTAAGAGGCAGACTTACAGGTTATTACAGAGTTGATGTAGGTGATGAGCAAGACGGTGACCAGCAGCCAGAGAAATGGCGCAAGTCCCAGCCTTGAAACTCGTCCCATTACGCCCTTGGAATCCCAATGGTGATTGAATATCCTCCTCGCATTTGACTGTGAGCAAAAACCAGGTTAGAAAGAAGCAAAGAATCGGAAAAGGAAGAACAAAGAGCTAGCTCACCAAAAACAAAGCAACGTGCCTGTGTCCCTTGTCAGCAGCAAGTTGAGCAGGAGTACAGCCACTTCCTTCCGTGATTGTCAAATCTTCTTTGGTTCCAGCTTGGACAAGAACAGTGCAAGCCTCCAAGTTGCCTCGAATGGCCGCCCAGTGTAGCGGGGTGCATCCTACTCGAAAGTAGCCAAACTGTTACTAAAGAAAAACAGGCGGCTGCTTATAACATCCACCTTCTTTGTCCTGGCGCCGAACGAAAGCATCCATAAAAAGTAGGAGACGTATGCTATCTGGAAAGCCTTTGTACGAGGCCCTGGAAACCAAGACAAACTCAGCGGAAAAAAAAGAGAAAGAAGTATCGCAACTTACCAATGCAAGGGACTTCTTCCATCCTTGTCGGTGGCATCAACCTCAGCACCCCACTTTGAAATCAAATGGTACAAGAGAGCAGTCTGTCCGTATTGAGCAGAGACATGGCT